TAAAAAAATAATGGCCTACTGTATAGCACTAGCTGATGTGAACTTGCTGTGTGAACCAGGCTGCCCTCAAACTCACAGAGATCCACATGCCCCTTCCTCCTAAGTACTGGGATTAAATGTGTGTGCCAAACACCTTCTACGTCAGGCATTCTTACTAGTAATTTACTGATGAATGAGCTGCAAAACTTCGCACAGCTGAGTTTATTTCACTATGGTTAAGAGGACAGTGGTCAGTAAAAGGATCAAGCCCAGATTTCTCTGACCCTGACATTTTCCTTTAGAGTATTGCCTCTGGGATGTGAGGAACTGAGGGCACAGATGTAAAAATCAGTCCTTGGATATAGTTGGTGCTGTCTGGGCCCTTGCTCTCTGGGAAATACTGAGTACTATTCAAGAGTAGGTCCTGGTTCATTTCATTTGCTGAGAGCATTGAGAAGCTGTGGAACCCGAACTCAAGGATACCTGACCTTCCTGGCCTCATCAGGGAGGTAACCCAAACATTGTGCTGAGTCTTTGTTCTACTCCTCCTTAGAAGCTGTCTTCATGTGGGATGTGTGTATAGACCTTGTTCTGGAAAGAGAAACTGCGTATATTTTAAAACAGAATATGTGAAATATTTTCAGAGTTACACATATAATAAAAATCTATTTAAAATCTTTCATTTAAAAAAAATACATTCACTCGTATCTCAGAACAAAAACATTAGGAAGCAAACAGCCTTACCATAGACCATAGTTTCTCTGCCTGGGGTTGATCTTGGCTGGTTGATTCTTAGAGGCAAGGCCTATCTGTTCTGTGCACAGTGATATGGTCAGTCGCATGGTGGCTTCTTCTTTCCTGACCCCAGCTATGACAACTAACAGTGTGTCATCAGCACCATGCTACTTAGGAGAACCACCCTTGCTTGAAAACCCATTTCATTAATGACAGTCTAATGTGTTCTAGAACACTCTATACTATTTACTTTTTTTAAGGGATGATGATTTTGATATACTTGCTTTCCTGATGAACTAACCCCATGTAGGTCTGTCATTTGAGAAATCATCTCATGGTGCAATTGATTTAGTGAGGTATTTTATAACAAAGGGTAGGTGGAAAATATTATTTTCATCAGCAGCAGGTAGTAGGAACTTTGCAGTAAATAAAAAGTACCAGAAATATTTAAAAATAAAGATAAAATACCTGGGGGTAAAAATGTTGGACTAAGGAGAGCTCTAGCTTTCTAGTCAGGGTTGGTTTCTCTTTCTGGATACCCAGTTGCAAGTGTGTCTCTAAGCCCTGTGTTGCCTCTCTCTAGTTTGGAAATCCAGGTGCTCCCAGGATAAGAAACACAAAGAAGTCAGAAGAACAGGTAAGAGGCCTACCTACCTTCAACCTTCCTATGCCCTCAGTTCAGATCCCAAAGACTCAACCCATTGCTACCACTCCCTTCCCCCTCCTCAGGTGAACATTCACTGCTCAAGTGCAGGCCACGCCAGTAAGAACATAATGGGTAAACATGGGCAGAGACACACTGCTGGACCAGACACCACACCACTGTGAGAACTCCAGATAGGCAGCCCACCCATGGACCTCCTCCATTCTCTCAGTCCCCCCCAACACTACTCAGGCAGACACCCCCTGCTGGACCAGAGGTCATGCAGGCTGCTAGAACTCCAGGCCACAAAGACCAAAAAATCAAAGAGGAAACAGAAACCAAGGAACAAAAATCCACCCAACAAAGACAAACTCAGAAATGGGCACCTAGACCTATAGTAGCCCCAAACCTAGATGCCAGGGTAAGAACACAATCAGCAACAGCCAGACCAATGTGCCACCACCAGAGCCCACCTATTCTACTACAGAAAGACCTGAATGTTCCAACACAGCCCGAACACAAGAAAACAACTTTCTGAAGATGACAGAGATAAATAAAGAGGAAATGAGGAAATCCTTTGAAGAAATCCAGGGAAACAGAAAATTTGGGGGGGGGGGGTATGAATTCCTTGAAGAAAGCACTGAACATCTAAGCCACAAATACAAAGGCTCCCTCATATGCACAAGAAACACTTCTAAAGCTTAAATCACACATCAAACCCCACACACTAATAGTGGGAGAGTTCAACATCCCACTCTAACCACTGGACAGGTCTGTCAGACAGAAAATTAACAGAGAAATAAGGGAACTAACAGAAGTTATGACTCATATGGACTAAACAGACATATACAGAACAGCCCATCCAAACATAAAAGAATATAGCTTCTTCTCAGCACCTCATAGAACCTTCTCGAAAATTGACCACATACTAGGTAACAAAGCAAAGCTCAACAGACACAAAAATATTGGAATAATCCCATGTATGTTTTCAATCACCATGGCTTAAAACTAGAAGTCAACAGCAACACTAATTCCAGAAAGCCCACAAACACATGAAAATTAAACAGTGCTCACCAGAAGCATCAATGGGTCAAGGAAGAAATTTAAAAAAAAAAGAAATTAAAGACTTTCTAAAATTCAATGAAAATGACCATACAAAATAACCAAATTTATGGGACATAATGAAAGCAGTGTTAAGAGAAAAGTTCATAACACTAAATGCCTACATAGAGAAGCTGAAAAAATCCCACACAGTGAGTTAACAGAATATTTGAAAACTCTAGAACAAAAAGCAGCAATCTCACGCAGGAGAACCAGATGGCAGAAAATAATCAAATTGAAAGCTGAAATAAACAAAATAGAAACAAAGAAAACAATACAAAGAATCAATGAGACAAAGAGTTGGTTCTTTGAGAAACTCAACAAAATAGACAAACCTTTATCTAAACTAACCAAACGGCAGACAGAGAATATCCAAATTAATAAAATAAGAAATGAAAAGGGGGACATAACAACAAACACAGAGGAAATCCAAAGAATCATTAGGTTACATTTCAAAAACCTGTACTCCACAAAGTTGGAAAACTTAAAGGAAATGGACAACTTTCTGGATAAATATCACTTACCAAAATGAAGTCAAGACCAGAGAAGCAAATTTAAATAGACCTATAACTGCTACAGAAATAGACACAGTCATCAAATGTCTCCCAACCAAGAAAAGCTTAGGGCCAGATGGTTTCAGCTCAGAATTCTACAAGACTTTCAAAGAAGAGCTAATACCAATACTCCTCAAATTGTTCCACACAATAGAAACAGAAGGAACATTACCAACCTCTTTTTATGAGGCTACAATTATCCTGATACAAAAACCACATAAAGACATGGCAAAGAAAGAAAATAACAAACCAATCTCACTCATGAACAATGATGCAAAAATACTCAATAAAATACTGGCAAGCTGAATCCAAGAACACATCGGAAAAATCTTCCACCATGACCAAGCAGGCTTTATCCCAGAGATGCAGGAATGGCTCAACATGCAAATATCTGTCAATGTAATCCACCATATAAACAAACTGAAAAATAAAAACCACATGATCATCTCATTAGATGCTGAAAAAGGCTTCTACAAAATACAACATCCCTTCATGATAAAGGTCTTGGAGAGAGCAGGGATACAAGGAACATACCTAAACATAGTAAAGGCAATTTACAGCAAGCCAACAGCCAACATCAAACTGATCTCACTGAAATCAGAACAAGACAAGGTTGTCCACTCTCTCCATATCTATTCAATATAGTACTTGAGGTTCTAGCTAGAGCAATAAGACAACAAAATAAGATCAAGGGGATACAAATCAGATAAGAAATCAAACTCTCACTATTTGCTGATGATATGATAGTTTACATAAGCAACCCCAAAAATTCTACTGAGGAAATTTTACAATCAAACACTTTCAGTGATGTAGACACAAGAACAGAATCCCCAGAATCAACTAAGCAGGCCTCATAGAGTCTCACAGAGACTGAATCAAAAGTCAGGGAGTCTATATGGGTGTGATCTAAGTCCTCTGCACATATATTATGGTGGTTAGCTTAGTATTCTTATGGGATTCTTAACAGTGGGAACAGGGGCTGTCTCTGGCTCTTTTGCCTGCTTTTGGGACCCTTTTCCTTTTATTGGGTTGCCTTGTTCAGCCTTATTATGAAGGTATTGCCTAGTTTAATTGGAATTTGTTATGACACGTTATGTTGACATCCCTGGGAGGCCTGCTCTTCTCTGAAGGGAAATGGAGGAGCAGAGGATCTGGAGGAGAGGTGAGGAGAATCTGTGGTCAGGATGTAATATATACAGAAGAATAAAAGAAAAAAATAACTTGATTTTGTCTTCTGGGGGGAAAAACCAACCCAACCCCCCAACAATAGCTTGGATGATAATCTGAAATACCACACCTCCCTTGAAAATGACCTCATGATAATTTTAGGAAGCAGTTTCTTCAGCATAATATACAAGAAGAGGGAGAAGAGGAGGATGTGGAAGAGGAGGAAAAGAAAGATAAGTCCTAATGATAAAGAAGAGAAAAAAAGAAATGTATTAGATTTAGGGGCACACACTTTTCCTTCTAGACTCCCTTTGGCTCACACATGAATCTTGATACTTGCTTTTTGTTCACCCAAGGTCCTAGTCAACCCTTCTGCTATAGATTGTGTTAGTGTCCACCCTGAGGCACTGCTGGAAAGTGGAACTATTGGAAAGTGTGACCTAGTGGGTGGAGTCACTGAAAGGCACAACCTTGAAGGGGATATTGGCACCTCCACACACTTATCTCTCTTCTTTGTTTCCAGGCATCATGAGAACTGCTGCTACCACAGGCACAAAGTGCAGGGCTCCAGGAGGCCAGATCATGGCAAATGCAGGCCCAAGCATGGCAAACATGGCACCAATACGTTTTACCCTTTACCCTTCTCTGTACTGCTAAACCATTAGATGACATTCCTAAAGCTAGCCCCCAGATCTATTCCCTTATTTGGTCACTGACTCATTCCTGAGACTGATTAGCAAGTCCAACTATCAAAATACCAAGGTCCAGCAATCAAAATTCATCATCTGACTAACCTAACCAAAATATCCAATCAGAACTTACCAGCACATCCCGGTTCATTCTAACACAGACCTCCCCTTTTCCCCTATTAAAACCATTTGCTGCTGATTCTGCCCGATTCAGATGCAGTCATTTTGTCTTTTTGCCTTGTTTAATAAACACTATCTTTGCATTTGGTTTGAGCTTGGAGATTGGTGTTTGGGTATGGTGTTTGGTATGTGATACAGAGGGGAGCACCCCGCAGTATGTGGATCCCTTCGCAAAGCACCTGGACCAACTAACCACAGTCTGAAACCACTGAAATCATAAGACAAAACAAATGTCTTCTCTATAAGTCGCTTATCTCTGCAACCTTGTTACAATAAACAAACCAACCTAGCCAGGCCTTACCTTAAAAATGGGATAAATTCCACTCTTCTCAGTCACACTGACTGGACTTGGAATCTTTCTACGGTAGGACCCTGTCTCATTGACTTCCATCCTTGGACGTTCTGTTTGGCAGATGAAGGGCACACAGGAAATTGAAAGGAGTGATTGGATGTTCCTACCAATCCTGAATCTCCCTGCTCATCTGGCTGTGCACTAGGAAGAACCTGTGGTAGGCTTATGGGCTAGTCATGAAAACTCCCTTCTGCAGATTCCTGAGGCATAGCATGATCAGGATCTGGTGTAGTTTACAACAGGGCCTCCTCTTTCCTGATTACCGAGTCTTTGTGATTAAATGCTTCTAGGAAAAAGACACAAGGGCAGTTTATGGGAAAGCATGCTTTGATGCAGACCTCCTCTGGGCTTTATGCAAGAGGCTTGGCTGGGCACACAGTGTATGCTGTGGTCTCCTGTGAGCTCTGGTGCCCTGCTCGATTGTGGCATTTAATTGGGCAACAGCTGGTGATAATTTTCTGTGTATGGAGTAAGGGAATTGGTGACTGACTGGCTCTTTACCTCAGTTTTATTGTCTTTGTTTTTGCCCCTTTTGGCTTTTGTTAACGGAGAACTGTGAGATTGAGGAGTGGGGAACCTGCTACGAGGTCAAAGCTTGAGATTTGCATGTTAAGCACCATGGATGGCTTCTTTAGGAAGGGCTTCTGTTATGAAGGGCATGTGTAGGACTATTACAGAGGTCCACAATAGCCCAGAATGGAGGGCTTCTGTTATGAAGGGCATGTGTAGGACTATTACAGAGGTCCACAATAGCCCAGAATGGAGTATAACAAAGGTTATGACATAGGTGCTTTAGAGTTACCTCATCAGAAATCCCTTAATTCAATGTCTTGTTCTTAGAGCTATTAAAGTCAGCACAGAGAAGTACCATAGCTCCTTTGAAATTGCCCAGCATTCAGGTACCCCACCCAGGACTCTCAATCACAAAAACTACTCAATACTAGGGTAAGTCATTCAAATACCAGCTCTACCCACTTCATCCTCGCTCAAGTTTAGGAAAGCACAAGAGAGGCAGAGTCAAGCACAGCAGTGTTTAGTCTTTGAAGTCTTCCATCTGAGAACCGCAGCATCAAGAGAGGTCTGGAAACAACACAGAACAAAGAAATCCCCAAGCATGGCGGCCACCTTGGTTCCATAGATTCTGTTATTGGATGTCATAAGCAGGGCTTCCAGATCTGTCATATCACAGGGACACTGCATGGTGCATGCTAGCTGAACATGATGTTTGTCAATCTGCCAGAAATCACAGGAGACAAGGCCATTCAAAGCTGAAGTCACTGAAGGAGACCATCACATGGCATCATTGGGAGCTAACAGCACCAAGTTCCAAGAAGGATTGGAATTACGATTCTGGCAACCAAGCCTCCTGCTCAGCATGAAGCTGGGCTCTGACACTTACTCCATCCCTCTACACTGTCTGAAATTTCGTCTCATTTCAAATAACCCAGAGAAACAAGCAAGGGTGGCTGGGTGATAAATAGAGATACGGTCTTGTTAGAGTTTCTATTGTTGTGAAGAGACACCATGACCACAGCAGATCTTATAAAGAAAAACATTTAGTTGGGTTGGCTTATGGTTCAGAAGTTTAGTCCATTATCATCATACCAGGAAGAATGGTGGCATGCAGGCAGACATGGTGCTTGAGAGGTAGTTCTTACATCTTGACTCACAGGCAACAGGAAGTGGTCTGGGACACTGAATGTGGCGTGTGCATGTAAGACCTCAAAGCACCCCCCCCCCCGTGACAGGCTTCCTCCAATAAGGTCGCACCTCTTCATAGTACCACTCCCTATAAGGGTCATTTTCTTTCAGAACACCACAGATAGAAAGAGACTTAAAATTAAATGGGATATAAAAATTTTCCAGCAGCCCCTACTGTTTCTGTGTTGACAGGATATATTAAGCCTTGGGCCCCTTTGCTGCACCCCACTATTCTGTAATACTACATGGCTCCTATGGATGGAGAGAGATGTAGCAAAAGAGCTAACCATGAAGGAAGGGGGGCTGGATGTGGCCTAGCAACTTGGATGGGATGGGTCTTAGGCTTTCTACTGTGATGCAATGTGGGGAGGTAAGGGTTGATTTCACTCACAGTTCCACACCACAGTTCATCACTGAAGGAAGTCCGGACAGGAAATCAAGCAGGGCAGGAGCCTGGAGGCAGGAGCTGAAGCAGAGGCCATGGAGGGGGGCTGTTTACTGGCTTTCTCCCCATGGCTTCTCAGCCTGCTTTCATCCAGACCCAAGGACCACCTGCAGGGAATGGTGATGTTCACCATGGCTCAGCTCCTCTTACATCAGTCACTAATTAGGGGAACATCTCACAGGCCAACCTGGTGGGTCCCTTTCCTCAACTGATACCTGCTCTTCCCAGATGACTCATGCCTGTGTCCAGCTGACATAAAAACTAGCCAGTGCAAGGTGAGGGAGAGTCAAATAAACTCTCCGCTGCCTGAATGGGTGACATGTTATGTCTGGCCACAGACTAAAGAAAGCCAGGATGGAGCACCCTGGTCAAGCATTTTAGATAAATTGGTGAGTACCAGGTCCCGTGAGGTACCCTACCTCAAAAAAAGTGGACAGTGATTGAGGAAGGCATCTGTTATAACTTCTGGCTTTCCCATGTACACACACACACACACACACACACACACACACACCTGTGCATATGAACCTATTGGCACATGTAAACATATACAAATATATACTAAATAAAATTAATAACTAATTAAAGATGGCTGACAACAATGACGCTGGGGCCCAGAAAGGCCTGGGAGGGACCTGGAGATGAAGTCCCTGCTGCTGTTAGGCTGGCTGTGAGTTAGGCACGCTGGCTTTCTTGCCATCTAGTTTCTCCATCTGTGAAATGACAGGCCACTTCGGATCACCAACTGGACCTCTACTACATGGAACCGATTATTAACTGAAGTTTGCACAGCTGGCGTGTGCCTCCCAGGAAGAGGACTGGAGCAGGGACAGAGGTTCAGGGCCAGAGGGTACCACCCTGCAATTGAGCTGCTGCCTGAGAGGAAAGCCTCTGCAGATCACTGAGGAGTAAATAGAGGGTCCGGGGACTCCATTATTCAAATGAGGTAAGAGTTGGCTTGGGACTTGGCAAGTGAAAAAAAAAAGGGGAAGAATTTTCACTTCTACTCTACTGAATTAGAAAGATCAGTGGGGCTCAACAGAGGGCTTTACCCGGGCGGAGACCACCGCGGGACTAGAGAGAAGAATCACACCCAGGCTCTTTGTGGGGAAGGACTCCCTTCGAGGAACTCCCACTGGGAGGCCAAAGAACCACCCCAATGCCTGATAGCCCCAGTTGGTTTTAGCTTAGTCTATGTTGTCTGCAGCTGTTTCACAGGGCCTGCTGGAGGTGTGCGATTGGGTTCCATTCAATGTACCATCATGCATGTTGTATTTTCTAACATCATGGTTATGTCAATGGAGCATGCATACCACAGAAGGGCTCAGAAGGATGAAAAGCAAAGGGAAGGAAGGACTTCTGGTCCACTGGAGCCTTTTGTGTGGATATCAAGGATTCGGTCTTTCTCTTATGCAGGTGAACCAAGAAAATATATTAAGCCTGAGCACACTGCTGCATGAGCCTGGGAAACACGGCCTGTCTAAGAATGTATCAACTCGAGAGAAGAAATAGATTGAGTTCTCACCCCAGAGTCAGAAATCCTCTGGTTAAATGGTGTGCATGAGTGTTCTAGGATGTGCACAGAACTAGGTGTGCGGTGCTTCACCCTTAAGCCCCGCACTCCTCCTGTGGTGTAGCAACAACCTGTGCGCGGATATTTTTGCAAAAGTTAAGCCAGGCAGAAATGCCATGGGTGGTTTTTCTCCATAACAAACATTTAAAACCAGAAAGTCATTAAACAGAAACTAAGATGGCATTCACTGAAAACAGGTTTTATAGTGGACAGGAAGTCAAGGTCCGTGGCAGAACACTATCTGGGAAGGGTTCGAATGTAGAGTTAATATTTCTAAAAACTCTCACACTGGGGAGAAGTTTGTTGCCCTTCTCTAACTGGGTTTTGGCAACAAAAGCACACCAGGTACTCTCTGGTATTCTTGAAAAGGGACAGTGAACCGTCAAGCACTCAGGATAGCTCTCTACCCTGATTCCAAGCCTTGTGCCCAATCCCTGGAGGAGATGAACAAGAATCGGCATGCATCTAAAAGCCTAGAGCCCAGGCTTTTGGGAAGGAGAGGGGAAGGTGTTACAAGCTGTATGTGCACACTTGTTTGCAGCCTTTCGCATAGCAAGTCTGGGGCTGCCCGATCAGCCCTGCTATCCTGGGAGCACGCAAAGGACCAGAGGGTGTGCACAAAGAGAGCAGGAGTCCAAACTGATGGACTGGCTGGCCGCGCTGTCTGTGAAGTCACAGCCCAGGAACTCAACGTTTATACCCTGGATACTGTTTGGAAGCATTTAGTAGTTCCCCAAGGCTTTCCGCTGCCTCTAGGGAAGATGGGTTTATACTTGAAATTCATCCCTCCTCCCCGATTATTTAAAGTTAGTTCAAGGAGTGTCCCCAAATTTACCCAACCCACACAGATGCATAAGGCCTTCCTCTTTAGCCTAAAATACACAGCTCTTGCTCAGGGCAAGAGGGAACTGGGGGTCAGTTGGACCCAGCACCAGCAGAGCCAGCCTCACAAGGCCCAATCTGGTTTGCATAAACTGGTGGTGCCCTAAG